TCAATGAGTTTAAATTTTCAGGACGCTCGTTCCCAATATGTCTTTGTAAAGTGACCGCTGTCAGAGAGCACCGCATGAAGTGTGACCTAATCCTATAATAAGTGTTCGGATCGACCCGCTTCCTCGCGTTTATCAACGACTGTGTGCAAGAACTAAACTGTGAAATAGTTGTATTTATCAACAATGTCAACAAATTGGAAGTCATCGATAGTGCCACCGATGGGTTAAATTTACAAGACTATTTCTGTTGACTGGGAGGATGACCGCAGCGATGTCGATAGCATTTAAATACGAGCAGATTAGGCGCCGAAACCTAAGCTATAGAGAGACCCTAGCCACTATGACCATTAGAGCCAGTCCAAAATAGAAAATGATGGAAATAGACGCCAGTTGCAGGAACAGTGCATTCTACACAGAATAACTAGAAAAGGATTTGGAAATAGCAAGCAGCCGAACGAGAACACGTCCGACGCCCGGAGAGCGACAAACCGAGTAGGGAAGTAAAAGGCGTGACAGCGCCTTTAACGAGAGCAAGAATGAGTCGGTTCTGAAGATACTTAGCCTGTTGAAAAACTGTGAGTGGGTGGGAGCCTGGGTTCCACTGGCGTACATGTGCAGGCGCTCACGAAAGACGCAGCATTGCAACAGACGTCCGGAGTAGGGCCACTGGAAATGCCCTCTTCCCAGAAAAGCGTTCGCATAAAAAATACAAATGGAGGAAAAGAAGTTAAGCTGAGTGAATGAGCAAATTACTCACGGTAGTGTTATCGGCAGCGTGGGTGGCTGTGGTCCGCAGGAAGTAGCCAGGATAATAGCGGCGACAGGAGAAAGTCCGTGGTTGATGTGAACGTCAACGACAGATCCGCATGCCGTGTCGGTATTTATGGATTTGGGGGAAGAGATACCGCTGATAATAGGAGGTTTAAATTTTGGAAGGCGCGAAGGACTCCCGGATACTGACACTGTTAAAGGGACTGTTCTGCCAAATTGGATCGGAACCACGACCTAGACTTTATGGGCTGAGGTTGTTTGATGACATTAATATCGACTCATGACAGTGTGTCGGCAAGTCTGTTTTCCCGTTCACAGACGCGATAGGCGACATTGAAAAAACAGCACCATGAAGTCGAGCGGGAGTTTCGTGATGAGTGCGTTCAGCTAATTGTCGCAACTGTGTATCGACCGCACCGAGGTCGCCAAATGCTAAAGGGGGAACCGATACAAGAGTTCTGAATGGTCGACAAAATGAAGATGAATGATGTTGCGAAACAATTTAGCTACCCTGCCAGCACACTGCCCCTTCATAGGCGGGGCTAGAAGGGGCTGGGTGGGGCCAGAGCCCCGCCTGCCAGCACATGGCTCCTTCATAGGCGGGGCTGGAGGGGGCTGGGCGGGGCCAGAGCCCCCTCTGGATTGAAGCCTTTTGAAGCGTATTTGCATCGAAAGATATGTTCCAAAAGCACCACTTATTGTACCTTCTTTGGAATTTAAAGGAGCTAATTTATCAAAATTGGCTTATAAACCATGGCGAAAGCATCCGTTTACGTCCACTGAATGTAGCTGCGGATGAGCACAATATATTGAGGTTTTGTTTAAGTCCCTCATTGCTTAAACTCTTATTTGTCCACCGGTTTACAATCTGTGTGTGTTATTAATTCGTATATTTGACAATGGGGACGATATTTTAAAGTGGTGCCAAAAGTGGGCTGGGATGTGGCGTCCCCTGCGCATTTTTTTTCGCTGGCGGGGCTAGGCGGGGCTATC